TTTTAGAAGTGGTGAAAGGTCCCATTTTCCCTGTGAAAAATGTGCAGAGAAAAATGACACTACAGTAGTATTCTTGTTTGTTTTTCTGACTCTCAAGTAGTTTTTAATTCTCTGATGGTAGTGCTTTGATCCTAGAGATGCCTGGCTTGAGAACAAAAGTGAGTTCATAATGACCCAGCTTTCAGGGTGCTTGAAGCATCAATTTCTGCTAAAGCAGCACATTGTTCATAACAGTTTTGAAGCTGCTGACTGTATCCTAGGTCATCTTTTCAACTTTTATGCATAATATTGACTATTTAATAATGCAGTGGGAAAAAACATAAATACCGATCAATGAAGACTTCTCACAAATCCAGCTGTTGTTACGCATTTCTGGTTACTGTCTGCTCACAGTCGTTAAAGTAAAAACTGAGAGTCATTCCCTGCCGTGAGCCCCTGTGCACAGGGCACATTGGAACAGTGTGTAATCGGTGCACATCACAACACAGTCCTTATTTTGCTTTCTCTTTTTCTTCATAAATATATAATCTGCGGAGCGTGTGACTGCCTTGCATGACAGTTCATCGAGCTCAAGAGATTAGTCACAGAGAGATTATCCAGCCCACAGATGGCTATATACAGGCTAAACTGCCCTAGCAAGCAGAGCTGGGAGTGGGAAGCTTTGCGCTGGACTGGAATCCACTCTTTCCTTCTTTTTTGTCTCTTTCAGCTCTCTGGAACTGCAAAGATGTGTGACCAGACGTTTTTAGCAGAGGTGTTTGGTCCGTGTGACAAGTGCTCCAATGACAAGCCTCTTAGGCCTGTTTACGTCAAATCAAAACAACTCAGCTACTGCTCGCTATGTGTGGAAATGGTACGTTACTGATTTTATCAGCCAGAATGTGGAAAGACTGCAAAAAAAAACCCCGGGGGTTGGATGTATTAACGGTCTGTTATGTTGAATTTTTCTGGGCAGCAAATAAGTATTGCTAGGCCTACAGGCTGCCAAACAGCTCTGCAGACACCTGGTGTTCCCACAAGCCTGCAACACAGGTGGCCCTGGAATTCAAGGATACTTTTTCTGATTCTGGGTTGGAATATGGCCACGAGCTTTTCCCCCTAGGGTACTGCATTCCTCAGCTGTGCACATGTTAAGTGCCTGTCTAAACTCTGCTCTGAGGTATATGTGTGCAAGTCTGCTTGGCCTACGATCTCGTTTCCCATTATCTTCAACAAAATTTAACAAGAAGAGATGAAACTATTGCAATAAACCCATTCACAAGTGACTAGGGGATGTGGAGTTCATCTAGTCTGTCCCAAAACCAGTGACGTGCTGTCAGAACTCATTGGCAGCCCACATTTCATCCTGAGACCGCGTTGTCTTGTATCCCGTGTGCAGTACTTGGGTGAGAGCTGGAGGTAGCTACAATGACCATAAGGTGGGAGAAGGTTGCACGGCAGTGGAGTGTCCTCTGTCACCCTGTGTATGCATCACCCCAGAAGGTGGTAAGGGGGGAGATTAGCCAACCTGCTGGCCTAACCAGCAGGTCCTGCCAGGATACCAGGACGAAGAAGGGATGATGTTGGAGGCTTTCTGACCTCCAGCAATTACTGGTGAGGTGATAGCCCAGTCTCCTGGCAGGGAACACTGTTCTAGAGAGATCACGGTGAGGGGGTTTAGATAAAACACAAAGCTAAGGTCATGAACCTATGTGGCTACTGAAGAGCTGGTCTTCAAAACTCCTTTTGTATACTTCAGAATTTTGTTGTCCTGATTATACTCTAACTTGGAGTGGTTGGAGTGGTTTTATTTTTATCTTCCTGAACCATTGTGTATTATCAGCTGGAGAAGTCATTCTTCACTGTTTCCTCCCCATCTATCATGACTGAGTAGGGTCCGATAGTTTGTTGTATTTGAGTGTCAGATGAAATGATGTCTGCAGGGATGTTAAAATGTTTAACGAGCTGTGTTTACAAAACGCTGTTTTACAGGCAGATGGGAGCACTGATCTGGTGGCTGTAGGTGGTGCAGTGCGTATAGTTCACTGGCTGACGCTGCACATTCTCATGCCTTATATTGTTTAGGGGGAAATTTAGATGTAATGACTGCAAGACAAAAGACACTCCCTTCCCCATTTATTTGCTTCTCCTGACTTTGAAACTGCTGCTTTGTTCAGGTCCTTCTTGGCCAAGAGCCTGTAAATAGCTATTTATCCAGTGAATTTTTGCATGATTTTATAAATGCATGTTGGAATTGCAGGAAACTGGCTCTTTTGTTATTTACAGTTCCTGCAACTTTCTCCTTATTATTCACATTATGGAAGTTAGACTCTTTAGCATCAGCTGCTAGGCAGAATCAGATTGAGACTTCAGGAGGAGTTGTGCCAGTCCCTAACAGCCTGTCAGGCTTTCCGAGGGCATAGCAGCCAGTTTGGAAGTGGTCAGCTTTCTAGGGAATGCTGGTGGTCAGTATGGAGCCACAGCAACGAACACTTTTATGTGCCAGTCGTTACTGCACAATTAATGGATCATAACGTTACAAAATGGAGCTCAGATACTTGTTAATGGTTTTCCACATACCATAGCTCCCCTGCAGGGTGTTTTCACAGCTTTTTGTCCTGTGCTGATGTGTTTTGAAACTCACCTGAAAGCAGAGACCAGACTAAGATAATTTATACGTTATCCATAGCTGCTGACTGAACTGCCATTTCAGATTAAACATGCCTTCAGCATAGTGAGTTCTAATCATGTGTCAACAAATTGTTTACTACTTACGATTTTTTTTAAAAGCAATTGCCAATACATTGTTAAAAGTACATTGCTTTCAGTATGGTTAGATTTTATGAAAAGTGAGAAACAAAAAGCCTTGACTGTTTACCAAATTGTAATATTTTTTTTCTTTTTCAGTTGACCTAGTTATCCTCTAAATTAATCCAACCCTGGTTCTTTTTACTTAAAGTTCCCAAATGGCCTTACTCTAATCTGTGGTTTTTTGCATAGTTAGCCAAGAACTACACGGGTTGTTATTTATATAATATATAAATAACAATATATATATTTTTTATATATCTGTAAATAACTTGGACACATGAGCTAAATACTTTTTTTCTATTCAAACTAATAAAATACGCATTATGTATCACAAACTTCTATAGCTTACTCTGTTCAGTAGAAGCTGCCCTTTCACTTCATGGCTCTGCTTATCCCTGTCATCTCAGGATTTGTATATCATGGATCAGTCTGAACATGTATGGTTCCCAAACCATAGACTTTTTAATCCTGTTCCCCAAGGCAGTGAGAGTGTTCACATCAGTAAGGCAAGAAAATCTGAGTTTTTCACTGTCAGAACTGTGCCAACTATCTGACATACAGGTGTCATCTAAGCCAAGTTTCTCAGAGCTGATGCATCCCTATTAAGGCAAAGAAATTTCCTATGTTTTTTGTTGGATTTAATTTCTGCCCCCCTTCACGCTTATCAGGTGTCAGAAATAGGGTGTTTGTCATAGATTAAAATCCTTTAAAAATGGTTTTCTCTTCAAAATATTCTCCTGCCACTCTGCCAGAATGCAGCTGCATTACTGATTTTAATGTAAGCAGGTTTAGTTTTTCAGATATGAAGATAACACACTAGCTTCCTGTCACTTTCCTGCTGAAAGATGCTTTTTTGTGTTCTTTTGGTATCAGTTTAAAAATACTGAATTTTTATTTCCTTGGCACTGTCAGTGTGATAGAAAGCATTTCCAATGTACTGTTTGCTCTGAGGGGCTTTGAAGGATGCTCCCATATCCAGCAGTATATGAACTCCATAGATTATACTGCCCACGTTTTCTTTTGTGCTACAGAATGTAGCTGGACCAATTCAGTTCAGGATTCAAAATTTCAAGTTCAGGGTTGCCTGCGTGGCCATCAGGCTGGTGGGTTTAGGTCACAGCAGTTTCCACAGACAAAGATGACTGGAAATAGAGCCCTGCATTGACTCTCCAGGGAGGTAACCCAGCAGCTGCCTGCAGATCCATTGACTGAGAGAGACCTGGAGCACACACAC